GGATACATTTATGTAAACACGATTCAGTTAACTTCAACTGCTTTTTAACGGATACTTTCAAATATTATTCAAGTAATTTTCTCACGTAAATATAAGGCTTTCACTTGTTTCTTCTTCAATGTAATTTTTCGTTGCCTTTGCCTTTTCCCTTATTTACTAAAACTTCTTTGCTTCTACTGCTATAGTCATTTACCGTCCAACTGTTTATTACTTTTTATATTTTTAACAATAATGTTACCGTTTTCTCCATTTAACGGTTTTAGGCATCAAAGATTCATGCAAATCTGTATGATTGTTTAGCTGAAGAAGAGATGAAAAATGAGGGGAACAAGAAGTAGAGGACGAAGAAGAAGTACGACGATGATTGATCGAGTAATGTTTGTTGTTGCTACGAGAATAATTTTTGAGATTGCCATAGTTGGAAGGCAAAGCGAGTGGGGTTTTGGGTCAATGCAACGACTACATAATTGTCGTTTACAATCTCTTCTTCTCTCTCTTCAATCCCCTCCCTCTGAAACAGAGAGAGAGAGAAGCGTGGAGAGAGCCGCAACACAACATGAAGGCAACGAAGCAGTCAGGCTGTGGAGGAAGACTGGCAGACAGGCAGCTTCGGCGTGTCGCTTCCCTCGCCAACAACTAGTAGTGGTGTAACGGCGGCAGCAGGCCAAGGCGATGAGGATTGGCACTTTTCACCCTGGTCCTGTTACGCTTCTCCAGTTTCTTTCCATGCTTTCTTATTCGATCACTGGTTTTCAGGCGTTATCACTTGTCAGTGGATGCATTCAAACAAGCATACATCTAGAAATATTCGTATGTTATTTTTTCTCTAAAAAATTTAATACTCTCATTGTTGTTTACGTTGTCGGTATCAAATAATCGAAGGTAAGCGGAATTAGGCTGCGAATTTGATGTGTTTGACTGCTTTACATAATAAGGCTTGCATTTTTCATTCCTTTTTTGTCATCTGGTTTTTTGGTAATGCTAATGCTGTGGGGTGGTTTTAGTTTCTCTTTTTTCAGTCCTGTAGGCATTTGGTAAAAATAGACCTATGGTTAGATAGTTTCTAACTTTTATCGTGACTGAAGGTTCACAAACTGGGTGGTTGGTTGGTTGACATGTTAGCTAGCTAGCTAGTTGACTAATCCATGCTCATGCAACAGTGCTGTTTAATGATTGTCCGCTACTGGGGATAGTGGATGATGAAAAAGGTACAGTTTAGTTACTTGATAATAAATTTTTATTAGCACAATTCTTCGTTTGTACGTCTTTTTTATTTTTGTTTTGCCTTCTGCATGTGTTCTCTTGTGTTATTTTACCACTATTTTATAGAAAATACTTCCTAAGCTTTTTTTTTTAGAAGTTACTGTTTGATTATACTTTATCTATTGAGTATAACTATATTAGCGGTTGCTCTTTGTTAGCATTTTACGGACAGATTTCTTGTTTAATCGGTTCTCTAGCAGCCTTTCTAGAAATTTTGTAGTACAGCTTGAATGTTTATCTCTTGCGGTAACTTCTATTTCCAAATAGCAAAATTCAACCAGGTTGTTAAGATAGTTCATCTTTCCCGAGCAACGTTTCTCTGAGCGCAAATGTTGTTAATTGTAGCATTTTCTTTATTCTG